TCCACTCTACCACAACTCTCAGTCGGTGGACGCCAAGTGGACTCTACCACCACTCTCAGCCGGTGGACGCCAAGTGGAACTTGGGAGGTATTTATAATTGGCTCTCTTCGAGTTCCACCTTATCCACACGGTGAGCCACGGATACTAAGGTGCGCACCAAAGTTCAATGGTCCAAGTTCAATGGTCGCATGGCCTTGAAATGTTCATATTTTTTAGCTCATTTTACGTGCGTAATTCTCTTACGTACGCTCTTACGCACGCTCTTCCATACCCCTACCCAACACATAACTCCAATACACAACCTTTCCAACACTGGCCTGTCAAAACGAACAAGTTCCACAAACAGCTGTTTTCATACCACCACTTGGTACTGGTGGTATCAGCAGCAATAAAATAAATACGGACAAATATAAAAATAAAAAAATATCGCGGGCAGAAAAAAAATCCAACAAGCAAATATATTCTGCTCGCATTCTAAGGCGAAGTAAAAATATTGTGGTCAGAAAAAAGAAACCCCAAACCAGCAATTCAATTTTGCTCGCGTTCAAAGCACCGGCTGAGCACACGTCTTCCCACCCTCATGAAAATTGCATGTGAGGCGTCTAAGAAGACACGTCTAGAAATCCCGGTGCTGTACACAATTTGGACTACTGCCCTTCTACCATAAGCCTGGATGGTATCCCTCAGGTATTTAAATATTCGGCTTGGGCTAAGGTACCCAATTATGTTAGCCAGCGTTACAGTCGACTCTGCCTAACTGAAACTCGTTGGATAATTATGCGATTTTATGTTTCAGGCATGAACTGTACAGGCTATGGCATATATATTACCTAGCTTGTCTGTTGCTTATGCCGAGAAAATCGGAATGTTGTCCCCCAATCTCCTACCCGTCCTTTTTCCTTAATTCCAGCTGCCGTCTACTATCTCACTGCTACCCTCAACAAAACTCTGGGGTTTCCAAGGAAACTGACGAAACCACAGTGTCAGGGTCATAAGGGATGTCCACCTATTGGTCATTATTTCCTTAAATTCCTTACAATATTTGTTTCCTAGTCCTTTTATATACTCTACACTAAACTAAATTAAATTTCATTGTCATTAGTTTTTAACAATATTAAAATTTACTTAAATCAAACGATAGGCCAAAGGGCAAAAGCGATATTCGCAAAGTTTCCTGAATTGTTATATACACTAAAGTATTACTGGACTTATTGTCATCTTTTAATTTGTTCCTACATTCGATTACCCCGGAGAGCTTCACCCATGAGGTTACAATTTTCTTAATGTTAAGTTAACCTACATATTTTGAAGCAAGGACCAAAACAATGCCCTTGTTTCATACTAATCATTAATATTAAAACTATCTGCAGAATATTAGAGAAAAATAATCGCTAACAAATACTTATGCAAACCATAAGCACAAGATAGCCATTACTTTTCCCGACCAGGAAACTTCATTGCAACTTAATTAATGGCCTTTCTGGTTCGACGCGCCCAACGTAGGCTACACCCACAATTTTATTTCTCCCTCACACTACACTGAACCTTGGAAAAGACTGTAAAGCTTTTAGCAGGAGTTAGCCGGGCATTAAAACAAAAGACTTAAGAAGGGAACTTTATCTTACGACTAAACGGGCCTATCCTAATAAAATATCACAGTTGTTCTTGAGTATAAATATGTATATGCTATCACAGAGGGAACATTAAACACTGTACATTTAGAAAAATAATAATTTAAAATAAATAATTAAAGACCGAAACACCACTTACTCTAATATTGCACGTAAAGAAATATTGCCATTAGAGTAATCTTCTGTTTATTTGTCTTTCATTATTTATTGCTTAATGTCTTTAGCGTGATAGACGCCAAGAGGATACCCTTTTAATGATTCCAGCCGATACATATTATTCCCTAGAACTTCTGCGACTCGACATTTGGTAAATTTTCTACGGAATTTTGCATTTCTGTTATCCTGAAACTTGCTCAAGACAAAATTTCTTTTAAATACCTCCTGACCCGGACGAAACCGTACTATTCTGGCCTTTCTATTATACCGTAGTGCACTTCTTTCGTACGCATTGTGTAAATTTTGTTTAATAATGTCCCTAATTATACTAACTCTATCGTTTTTATCCAGAATTAGTAACTCCCCATCACTTAGAGATTTTAATTTTCTTGCAAGTTTGTAATCTCTGCCACAGGTGAACATGTTATGCCCAAAAAGAGCAAAAAATGGTGTCACGCCAGTCGCTGAGTGAACTGAGGTTCTTAAAGCCAATTCGATTTTAGCAAGATTTAAGTCCCAATTGGTGTGTTCATTATCTAAGTGAGTACGTATAGCATTTAACACGCTTTGGTTTACTCTTTCCGCCGCATTTGATTGAGGCGAGTAAAATGCTGTTTTCAAATGGGTTATTTTATATTCCTCCATTAGTTTTTAAAAATCCTTGGATACAAATTGTTTACCATTGTCTGTATGACTTCCGGTACACCAAACTGTTGAAACACATTTTCAATTAAAAACGAGATTGCATTCTTGCTGGTAGCTTCTTTCATCGGTTTTAGAAAAACAAATTTTGTTAGATGGTCAACCACCACTAAGACATATGCGTTTCCTTTACGGGACCGTGGATACTTTCCCAGAAAGTCCACGTACAGCTTCTGGAACGGTCGGTCAGTCTGAACTTCATTTCCTATTTGGGGCATCATATGTTGATTAGAACTTTTGCATTCCCGACAAATATTGCAGTTTTTTACAAAATTTCGGACGTGTATTGCCATGTTAGGCCAGTAGTATTTTAGTCGTAGGTGACCTAATGTCTTCTTTATACCCCCATGGGATTAATCCTCAGGTTAATGGACCATTTTAATAAGAGTGGTTGTTAAATTTTCTGGTACCCAGAGTTTAAACTCATATTCTTCCAGTTCCATATCAGCTCGTGGAGCTGTACGCTTAAAAACAAATCCATGTTCTACTTTAATATCTGGAAATTTTTCTTTATTTTCGAGTATAGTTTTGATCATTTCTAAATCGAATCCTACCACGTCTTCGGGCAGCAGTATCTCTTCTACTAACCTCGACAAGGTGTCGGCAACTATATTTTCAGAACCCTTCTTGTGTTCTATTTTAAAATCAAACATCTGTAGTTGCAAAGCCCATCTCGCTAATCTACCGTTTAAATCTCGCAAGGACATCAACCACTTCAGGCTTGCGTGGTCAGTAATGATGGTAAAGGGCATTAGCTCAACGTACGGTCGGAAGCGTTTGACTGCCATTATGGCCGCCAAGCACTCCTTTTCAGTAACACTATAATTGGATTGTGCACTATTAAGCTTTTGTGAAAAGAAAGCTATAGGTCTTTCGTTGCCACTATCGTCTTTTTGGAACAATACCACTCCAACATTTGACGCATCGCATTGTATAAAGAAGTGTCTTTTGAAATCTGGATGGACTAGAACTGGAGCACGATTAGTGCATACTTGATATTATGGAAACTGTCCAAAGCCTCCTTACTTATCACAAACTTCTTGTCCTTTTTTATCAGGTTGGTTAGAGGGGCCGTCAATTCCGAGAAATTTCGGATGAATCTCCGGTACCAACCTGCAACTCCAATAAAACTTCTTACTTCTCTAACATTTTTAGGCACCGGAATTTTACGGATGGCTTCTACTTTTGATGGATCTGGTTTCATTATACCCCCACCCACTATAAATCCTAGATAGTGCAATTCCTTAAAGGGGAATTGGACTGTAAATGCGGTGTACGGTCTTGAATTCGGGTCTAGTTCTATCTGCCAGAAAGCAAACTTGAGGTCCACACTACTTATAAAAAAGGTGTCCTCAGGTCGGCTTAATATACCTTCAATATTCTGGATTGGATAGGCATCTTTTATAGTTCGCTCATTTAATTTTCGGGCGTCTAAACACAGGCGATTTTTCCCTGGCTTCCTAACCAGTGTACATCTGTTGCTCCACGGGCTCGAACATTCTTCAATAACCCCAAGCCTAATCAATTCATCCACTTCAGCGTAAATAAGGTTCTGCACCGCTGGGGAGACTGTATAGTATCGCTCTTTAACTGGCTGTGCTCCTTCGATTAAGTCTATTTTGTGTTTTTCTAAACGTGTTCTACCCAAACCATGTTCTTCATAGGATTTGAAAGAACTTTTAACTTGGTTCAACCTCATGCGCATATCATTTGTCAAGACATGCTCTGTATTCTCATTAAAATGGGCTCGATATTCTTCTAAAACCTCCTGACTAATTTCGTCCACTCCAAATATGTTAGGAGCGAGTTTAAAATTTTTAAAGAAATCCACGCCTAAATAGGCCGTTTGAACCAAATCGGGACATAGATAGAAGTCCATTTCCTTCTCTTCATCTTCATATTTCACTTTGACCCTAATTTTTCCCACTATTGAGAACTGATTTCCTCCGGCCGTCCCTATGGATGTACAGAAAGGTTTAACTTTGGCTTCTATCTGTTCAACTATTTGGTCACAATCCTTACCCAAAACGCTTACGGAAGCACCCGAATCTAAAGGCCCTTTTAAATTGAGGTTTTGAATTTTAAAATTTATATATGCTCTATTATCTACTAAATCTAGCTTTAAGGAACAACAATTTAGAACGGATCTCTTAACTAATCTACACTCTTGTTTCTTATGCTTAAATTTATCTCTAATCTTTCTAATCCTATTTATTTTATTATTAATAACCCTATTTCCAACTTCACCAATGCTTCCTATTTGCTCGGTTTGTGGCTGAGCATGAATATTTTCATTTATATCACTACTTAACGTATCCTTACTGTGAATTCCTTTACCACCAAAAATCCTGTTTCTAACCTTCATATAATTTTCCAATCTTTCTACATATTGTACTATATTATGCCTCTTTGGAATCTTATTAATACTCTCTCTTTCTACTTCATTTGTCCTTTTCAGTATGGTGATCTGATTTGGAGAATCAATTCCTAAAGTGGACAATCCAGTTCTATTTATTGGTCGGGAGCAATCACAGAGCGCGTCTCCCCCGACTTCCACACGCCCTTCATTCCATTTCCCAGACATTTCGGGCAGGTGGGGCAGGTAACCCCTGGACATCCGCATCTGTAACAGAAGAGATTACGCTGTGGGACTGGACACTCGAAATACGTATGCCCGGAGGCTTGACAGTTCCAACAGGTAAGTGTACTCTCTCTCTTTTCCGCTGTCCGTTTTTGGTTCACCTCTTCGACTATTATTAATTCTTCGTCCATTTGATCTCCCAGCTGTTCATCCAGATAAACCTCGTTCACCGGATATTGGCGGCGTGTTTGCTGTGGAATTTTGACAGTTGGGATAGAGTATTTCTCCTTTTTTAAATAATTTTTCTCTAATTCCTTACATTCATCTCTCAATTGATCAATGGTGTATATTTTCATGGCATATATAATATGGGATAGGTCTGGACGCAAGTTTCTCTTGACGATCCTTATCATGTCTGTTTCTGGCAGTGGTGTTCTTAATTTTGACCTAAGCTTTTTCATTGCATGAAAATAGTCATCAATTGATTCACCTACTTTCTGTTTCCTTACTTCTAAATCTCGGAGATATTCATACTGGCTACGACTTGATTTATATTGTTGCATTAAGGCCTCTTTTAGATCAGTCCAATTATATATATCTTGGTTTGCTATCAGCACCCAAAACCACTCTTTTGCATCTCCCTTCAGTAGAAGTTGGAAGTCACGGATCACTTCACTCCAGGGACACCCGTATACACGTTGAAGATGTTCAGTTCTGAATATAAAGTCTTCAACGTCTAATCCATCTGATCTTCCATCGAAGGAGATGTTCCATTTGTCCACCACGATGGGGTATTTGTTACCAATAGCTGCTGCTGTTTGTTGTTTGGTAACAGGCATTCTATAATTATATTCCGGTTGATCGAATTCTAATCTTCGCTGAGCAGCATTTTCGTTGGAAGGTCTGGCCTTGATCGGGGCCCTATTTACCTGATCCTGTCCTCCAACTAAACCATATAGCCTGGACGAGCCTATACTACAGTTTTCTAATTCGGAATCATTTTGCCTACTGCCTATACTTAGTTTAGCGATGTCCTTCTCTATGTGCTCAAATCCTGCCTGTATGCTCTGTTAGAGTCTATCCTCTATTCTTTCCTCCAACTGAGATCTATAGGTATTGTTAGCCTCTTTTATTAATGAATTCACCATTGCGGCGTATTTTTCAGGACTACTCCTAGGTCTGTTTGTCGAAAGTGGGATAGTCGGTGGTGGGTTAAAGGATAATAATCGAGCAATCTGATTTGTTACGCACAGAGTCTCGATTTATTTCCTAGTAGATATGGTTTTGTTTCTGTAACTTGAAAGGAACAATTATAGAAATACTTATAAGTTTCTCTTTCACGTTAACACGTCCTTTTAATCACTGGACGGAAAATTACAAACACAAAATTTTACTATTTTTATCACCACAGTTATTGGGTAAATATGGCTCTGACCTGTTTTTCTTTGGGCGCCATTACTATTATGTTTCCTCCTTCAAGACAAACTAAGACATCATTTTCAATACTAATCTTACATTTATTACATATTAAAATTCATAAACATACTAATTTATATAATATTAATTTTCTTTCATGAAATTTGTTTTCTTTTTTTTTCAGATTCAACTACAAATATTTAATAATAAAAAACTTTAAAATTACAAAATTAAATTTAATGTTTTATAATGCATTGCTTTTTTTCAACACATTGGAAAATAATAAAAAAAAATGAATTTGAAAATTTGCCTGGGTCTAACCTTAAATTTGTTATGTCCTGCTTTAGAAATTCCTCACCAGTTAGAGCTCCTCCTAGTAATTATTTCTAATGGACTAACTTGCCTTGTTTAAGAGTAGATCCCTAATGCAATTAATTTAATTACAAAATATATTATTAAAATTAGAATAAGCAAACAAAAACAATATATATATAATCTTAAAAGTAACAGAAAGCTAACTAGGACACACACAGACGCACAACAAAACATAAACT